TGCCTTGTGTAAGGAGCACAGACTGGAGCACAGAACGAAGCACATCGCTCTGCGTTACTTCCTGGCTCGAGAGTTGCAGCAGCGAGGTCAGCTTCGTCTTCGTCACGTGGCCACTCGGGCCAACACTGCTGATATATTCACCAAGGCACTTCCGTCTGGTGATCATCAGCGCTTTTGTACCCTGTTAGGCCTTGTGCCTACGTTTCCACACTTGCTGTAGTCTTTGGTTGTACTGTGATATATATATATATATATATATATATATTCTGCATGCTTGCCCTTGCTAGGTAGTGATCACTGCTCTATTGTTGTTGCATATATATATACCTCTGCATGTGAACTGGCCTTATGGCCCTTTGCTTGTGCTCAGAGAGTGTGGTGACGTTGTGATCCACCCTGAGCTTGCTTTGCTTCTCTTGACTGGTCGTGTGACCCTTGTTCTCCCCCACTTTGCCTATGGGGGTGTGTCAAACATATATGCTGCTTATTGTGTAGGCTGTACTGGGGTAGCCCATATGGGGTACAACCCAAATTAGGGTTTCCTACTTGTACCCATCTTCCTGCTAGTTCATTCATTCCTGCTGCTAGATTCTAACAAACTTCGGAGCCGATTGTCGTCGTGTTCTCGCTTGTCGCAGCCGGGTTGGGTTGCGCTTCAGCCGTCAGATTAGTCTGACCACCAGATCCTCCGGCCATCTTCACTCGTGAGCTTCTGCCGGACGCCACTTTCCGAATGTCGCAATTTTCGGGAGTGGCAGTGCGAAGGATTCCCGAGCCGCTCTCATACCATGCTGCGATCAGAAGTTGATCGTAGCCCAAGATCTACTGAGGAAGCTTCACACGTAGAGAAGTGAAATTGGTGGGCCCTTGACCTCAATAGCAGAGTGAATGTAAAATGCTTTGAGATAAATTAAAACATGCAAATACAGGAAATATAAATATGAGTACAGGGAAGACGAAACGACCTAGCTAGCCATGTACTCTAAGAGGTACATTCCCTTATTCAAATACATCCCCAACCGTGCGGCGCGTACAGTTTCGTAACTGTTCCCGCCAAAACCATCCTGCCTGCAGCTGCCCGATGCCGTCTGCTCCCGACGGTCCAGATGTGCTGTAACCGTCCGACGCTTCGATTCAATTCCAACCGTCTGACGCTTCGCGTTCATTCCCGATACTGCGTGCTTCTCTTTGCTGCGGTGAGGAGTGCACAGTAATATCAAATACCGGTATTACTATTCGAAATAATATGCACCCGGGTATTATGTAGCTTTTTCCTATGAGAAGACACCCCCCTTTTTTTTCCTGTATTTTTAGATCTACCCTAGGGTCTTATGTCCGGGAGAATACGGTAGGTGCAGCGGCAGTTGGAGCTGTCAAACTATATGCAGCACATATAGTTTGACACACCCCCATAGGCAAATTGGGGGAGAACAAGGGGTCACACGACCAGTCAAGAGAAACAAAACAAGCTCTGGGTGGATCACAACGTCACCACACACTCTAAGCACAAGCAAAGGGCCACAAGGCTAGTTCACATGCAGAGATATATATATATATATATGCAGCAATAACAGTACAGTGATGGCTACCTAGCAAGAGCCAGCATGCAGGTATATATATATATAGATCACAGTACAAGTAGAGACTACAGCAAGTGTGGAAACGTAGGCACAAGGCCCAACAGAGTACAAAAGCGCTGATGATCACCAGACGGAAGTGCCTTGGTGAATATATCAGCAGTGTTGGCCCGAGTGGCCACGTGGCGAAGACGAAGCTGGCCTCGCTGCTGCAACTCTCGAGCCATGAAGTAACGCAGAGCAATGTTCTTCGTTCTGTGCTCCAGTCTGTGCTCCTCACACAAGGCAATGGCCGCCTTGTTGTCAACGTACAGCACTGGAGGAGAACGAGGCCGCTCACCCAAGTCGGTCAGCAGGTAGGTGAGCCAGCGTAGCTCCTGTGCAGCCATGGCGGTGGCGTAGATCTCAGCCTCACAACTGGAGCTGAGAACAGAAGACGAGCGTGTAGACCGCCAAGAAACAGAGCCAGAGCCAAGGCTAAAGGTGTAACCCTGTGACGACCGCTGAGTAGTCTGGTCGTCAACCCAAGAAGCGTCTGAGTGCCCAGTGAGGACCACCTCACTCCGTCCTCCAAGCACGAGCCCCATGCCCGATGTACTGCACAAGTAGCGCAGTACCCTCTTAGCAGCAGCCATGTGCTCTGGTCGGTGCCTACCAGGAGCCACGTAGCGAGCGAGAAGGCCAAGAGGGTACGCAAGGTCAGGACAAGTGCAGGTCATCAGGTACATGAGGCAGCCCACTAGCTCTGGGTAAGGACCACTCGGCTCTACGGACTCGTCCGAAGGTGGAGCTGAGAGCGAGTGACCTGTAGCCAGAGGAGTGTGCTGTGGAGAGGACCAGGTGAAGCCGAAGCGCTGAAGGACCTGCTGCACCATGTGTGACTGAGTCAGTGTGATGGTGCGGCGTGCTCATTCCCGAGTGATCTGCAAGCCAAGGTAACTGCGCAGCTCACCCAGGTCTGTGCACGTGTGTCTCTTCTGCAGCTCCGACTTCACCAAGGCGAGAGCCTCAGTGTCAGCAGTGGCAAAGACCAAGTCGTCGACGTACACGAGGATGTAGAACGGTGGCAGCGAGGTGTCGGTGCGCAGGAACAGCGACGGGTCAGCTGTCGAAGGAGCGAACCCAAGAGCCGCCAGTGTCGTCCTCAGTGTGTCGTGCCACTCACGTGGTGCCTGGCGGAGACCGTAGACTGGCCGCCGGAGGCTCCACTGGGTACTAGGAGGGAACGACCCAGTGAAGCCAGGTGGGCGGCGCAGCCAGATCTCCTCGTGCAGGCTGCCCTGTAAGAAAGTTGTGCTGAAGTCGAGAGAGTGAAGCTCGTAGTCACGCTGAGCGGCAACGTGCAGCAGCACCCGAAGAGTAGTCATCTTCGGGGTGGGGGAGAAGGTCTGGAAGAAGTCAACTCCCTCTCGCTGACTGAAGCCTCTAGCAACGTAACGAGCCTTGAAGACAGGCGGAGAACCCGGCGGCCGCTTCACCCTGAAAATCCACATGCCATCGACGATGTTCGCCCCAGGAGGGGGAACCTCATCGACGTAAGTGCCTGTGGACTTCCAGGATGCCATCTCTGCGTCCATGGCTGTCTGCCACTGAGAGGAGTACTCACCCGCGATCGCCTCAGCGTAAGAGCGCGGGGTCGGGATGTCTGGTGCATCCGGGTCTCCCTCAGGGGCAAGCAGCATGGCCACGAGATGAGGCGCAGCAGCCGTAAGACACTCAAGGTCCTCGTGCCTGTCCTCAAGGACGTCCGTGCTAAGAGCACACTCACCCCCGACGAACGGAGGACAGACAGACTCAGACTCAGCAACAAGACTGGCAGCGAAGTCTAGACGACAGGCAGCAGCAAAGTTAACAAGCTCAGCGACAAGAGCAGACGCAGCAGTAGACTCAAACGACGGGTCAGTGACAACAGTGGCTAGCAGACGCGTGACAGTAGGGTGCTCAGCACGATACCGGTCAGACTTAGGGTCCGGAACGTCAGGCAAAGAGGACGCAGGAGGAGACGGCAGAGGAACAGGCTGCGGAGCAGAGGAAGGACGACGGACTACGAGGTGTGCGCTGGACAGCCGGCGGACGCGACTGAGGAACACGACGACCGGTACGACCAGGACGAACAGGCGAGACAGGACGCGACGCAGGCTCACGACGCTCAGCAGGACTACCTGTCTGCTCAGTGTAAGGGGAAGGAGCAGGCAGCGGTGAGCCAGGCTGTAACGGAAGACCAGTAGACGACGGGAGAGTAAGAACCTGATGAAGAACAGAGTCAGGCGACGGCAGAGACGACGGAGACGGCGGAGCGAAGAACAGTCGTGTCGGCGCAGCTGCACTAGTACCGGCAGCTCCAGCAGCTCCAGTACCTCCAGCACCTCCAGCACCTCCAGCAGCTCCAGAAGCTCCAGCCCCAGAACCGACACCTCCAGTCCCAAGGTCTCCAACCTCAGTGTCTCCAGCAGCAGCACCCCCAGAACCAGCACCTCCAGTCCCAGGGTCTCCAGCCTCAGTGTCTCCAGCAGCAGCACCTCCAGACGCAGCACCCCCAGCCCCAGCAGTTCCAGTACCTCCAGTAAGAGCACCTCCGGAACTAGCGACTCCAGCACCTCCAGTAGACAAAGGACCAGCACCACTCCTAGCTCCAGGGACGTCAGCAGAAGTACCTCCAGCAGCAGAGCCTCGGGCTCCAGCACCGCGACTCTGACGGTGACCGTACCAGTCCTGGAGCTGCTGTGGGGTGAGAGGCACACGTGGACGAAGGCGGCTACTCCAAGGAGACCGCGCAACAGCAGACTCAGAACCCTCAGCGCCCGCACCCCCAACTGCTCCAGAACCTCCGGTGTCAGCACCCTCAGCGCCAGTACCTCCAGCGGCTCCAGAACCTCCAGCTCCAGTGCCACCAGTACCAGGCCCTCCAGCAGCTCCCGAACCTCCAGCGCCAGCACCCTCAGTAGCTCCAGAACCTCCAGCGTCAGTACCGCCAAGCTCAGCACCCCCAGACCCCTCACACTCAGGCTCAGCACCACCAAGCTCCACACCCTCAAGCTCCGCACCCTCAGGCTCAGTACCCCCAGGCTCAGCACCCCCAGGCTCCGCACCCCCAGGCTCAGCACCCCCAGAAGTAGCACCCCGAGCAGGACCACCCTTAGTAGGACCTGAGTCACCAGTGACCTCAACCGGCGCAGTCAAGGAAGGAGGGTCGACCTGAGAAACACCGGCTGGTCCTCGAACAGATACCCGCTGTGAAGTTGGTCACGCTGCCAATGCACACCTGCAGGCACAGGGGAGGTGGCGTGTGGGGTGGAGAAGACAATGCAGGAAAGAGGGCCAGCAGGGAGCAGGGGGCACTTGCAGTGCAGCTAAAAAGGTGAGATGCATTGAATGCACGAAGGACACACCTTGCAGAACTACTAACACAGGCCTGAACTCAGCTCAGCATGTACCAGAGTGACTGACCTCAGCGCCAAAGGTGGTGGTGGAGTGGGAGTAGTTTTTGAGGGGGATGAGCTGGTTGCAGTTGACGCCGGGGTTGAGGCGGTAGAAGGCCACGGGGCTGAGAGGAGGCTCCGCCAGCTGCCTGATGCTGTCACACGTGTCGCTGACGCGCGCCCGGTAGTACTGGTCGCACACCACCGTCACATTCGCCACCCCGGGGTCCCTCTCGAGGCACACGGCCTGGGAGGGGCTGAGGGAGGAGCAGTTGACAGCGGGGTTGAGCGCCTGAAATGCCGCCTCACACTCCGCATCCGACGCCGCCGCCCCACACAGCTCCACCTGCCGTGCCACCCCCGTGCACGTGTCGCCCTGGGGACACATGGAGAGGAAAAGGAACTGGATTGTGAAAGTTCGATATTGAGTGGCCTGGCACGTACATTCCGTACACAGGATGGTGTGATTATGGTACATTAGAACAGAAGATGCACGTTGGCCGTGAAGCGTGAAATAGACCGCAGCTTCGCACTCTGTTTGCTGTGATCCGTGCTCTGTGTGAAGACACAGCAACTGTGTGCGAAACAAACCCCCCTTCAAGGTGGTTGAAACTTTGTGCATATTGACAAAGGAAATTCACATTGGCCGTGAGGCGTGAAGCAGTGCAATGAAGGACTGTGGAGCCGCCTATGAATAAGCACTGATTGGAGCCCTTACGATCAAGGTGGTGTGGAAGACAAAGCAGGGTTGCACTGTGGAGTTGACAAGCAGGGTTGCGTTGAGGCGCAGAGGAGCCGAGCAGACGATGCCCTGCGGGAGAAAGGCAGGGGATGATGGCACATGCAGGGATGATGGCACATGCAGGGATGATGGCACATGCAGGGATGATGGCACATGCAGGGATGATGGCACATGCAGGGATGATGGCACATGCAGGGATGATGGCACATGCAGGGATGATGGCACATGCAGGGATGATGGCACATGCAGGGATGATGGCACATGCAGGGATGATGGCACATGCAGGGATGATGGCACATGCAGGGATGATGGCACATGCAGGGATGATGGCACATGCAGGGATGATGGCACATGCAGGGATGATGGCACATGCAGGGATGATGGCACATGCAGGGATGATGGCACATGCAGGGATGATGGCACATGCAGGGATGATGGCACATGCAGGGATGATGGCACATGCAGGGATGATGGCACATGCAGGGATGATGGCACATGCAGGGATGATGGCACATGCAGGGATGATGGCACATGCAGGGATGATGGCACATGCAGGGATGATGGCACATGCAGGGATGATGGCACATGCAGGGATGATGGCACATGCAGGGATGATGGCACATGCAGGGATGATGGCACATGCAGGGATGATGGCACATGCAGGGATGATGGCACATGCAGGGATGATGGCACATGCAGGGATGATGGCACATGCAGGGATGATGGCACATGCAGGGATGATGGCACATGCAGGGATGATGGCACATGCAGGGATGATGGCACATGCAGGGATGATGGCACATGCAGGGATGATGGCACATGCAGGGATGATGGCACATGCAGGGATGATGGCACATGCAGGGATGATGGCACATGCAGGGATGATGGCACATGCAGGGATGATGGCACATGCAGGGATGATGGCACATGCAGGGATGATGGCACATGCAGGGATGATGGCACATGCAGGGATGATGGCACATGCAGGGATGATGGCACATGCAGGGATGATGGCACATGCAGGGATGATGGCACATGCAGGGATGATGGCACATGCAGGGATGATGGCACATGCAGGGATGATGGCACATGCAGGGATGATGGCACATGCAGGGATGATGGCACATGCAGGGATGATGGCACATGCAGGGATGATGGCACATGCGAGCGAGGAAGAGCGGCGGGGGGGGGAGCGGGGCAGTGCGGTAGGGGAAGAGACGGTAAAAGGGAACCGACTCGTCGAACGTGACGTCCTGAGACGCAAAGACACGACGCGAGGTGGGGTGGTAAAACTGCCAACCAGGCGCGTCAGGGACAAAGCCAAGGATAACACAGGGAACAGCGCGGGCGGAGAGCTTGTCCGCGGTGGTATCGCGGACAAAGGCACGAGCACCTCAGACCCGGAAACGCGACGCATCGCCAACCTTCCCCGTCCACAGCAGCGTGGGCGAGGTCTCCGGCAAGGAGACACGGGGCCAGAGGTTGAGCTGATGCGCGGCGTACCGGACCGCAAACGGCCATAGAAAATGGGGGGCAGCCGCATGGATCATGGAGGTACGAGCGACCTCCATGACTAAGCCAATGCGGCGCTCAGCAACCCCATTCTGCTGCGGAGAGGCCGGAAGCATGAACGACTGGCGGATGCCGTGCTCCGCACAGTAGGCTGCCAAGAGGTCTGAGGTGAACTCACCACCTCTGTCGGAGTGCAGACGCAGGACAGGAAAGTCCCGCTGGAACCGGTCGCGGAGCTGGAGACGAGCAGCGCGGATCCAAGGGATCAAAACAGCAGGGACGTCCCCCTTGCTCTGCAAGGGGAAGACCGTGGTGTAGCGCGTGTAGTCGTCGACGACCAGCAGGAAATACCGCTCGTGACCCTGTCCACGGATGCGGGCTGGGCCCCACACGTCCAGGTGGAGCGTCTGCAGTGGAGCCTCTGTGGGAGGAAACGAGGAGGAGTGAGGAGCGGCGCGCTGCCGCCCCTCGACGCAAGGAATGAAGGGCGGCGCAGGTGAAGGAGGAAGGGCAGGCAGAGACCTGGGAAGACCAGAGACCAGGGAGCGAGAGTACATGCTATGCAGGCGAGGCAAGAAGGGGTGACCAAGGCGGTGGTGCCACAGGAGAGTGTCGTGCGACAAAGCGCGACACTCGCAGGGGGCTGCCAGCTGACCAGACGTAGACGCAGACGTAGCTACCTGAGGGGACTCAGTAGTCAGTGTGTACAGACTCGAGCCAGGTGCACGGGTGAACGTGGCCAAGTGCCGGCCCGTCCTAGCACACGTACAGTGAGTCACTCGCTGACTCGCAGGAGTGAACTGGTCAACCCCCCGATCCTGGAGGTCAGCTCCACTCACCAAGTTCGTAGAGAACGAGGGGAGGTAAAGACCTGACAGCGAGCCGGACGGGGCGGCCGGACACGGCAGAACCGTGGAGTAGTGGGCAAGGACTGGACCCCCGGAGGGGTCCGCCAGGGAGACTGGAACTGGCCGACTAAGCGGCGTGAGTGTGGTGCAGTCGCGAAAGAAGGAGCGGGAAGCTCCTGAGTCAAGGGTGAAGGTGTGCGAGACCGCAATGGGCGTCTGCTCTCCCAGCCTTTGGTGAGCGCCTGCCTGCCTGCCTGCCGGCCTGCCTGCCTGCCTGCCTGCCTGCCTGCCTGCCTGCCTGCCTGCCTGCCTGCCTGCCTGCCTGCCTGCCGGCCTGTCTGCCTGCCTGCCTGCTTGCCTGCCTGCCTGCCTGCCTGCCTGCCTTCCTGCCTGCCTGCCTGCCTGCCTACCTGCCTGCCTGCCGGCCTGCCTGTCTGTCTGCCTGCCTGCCTGCCTGCCTGCCTGTCTGCCTGCCGGCCTGCCTGCCTGTCGGCCTGCCTGCCTGCCTGCTTGCCTGCCTGCCTGCTGCGCCTGCTGCTGCTGCTGCTGCTGCTACTGCTACTGGCAGGTGGCCAGATGCAGCTCCAGCGACGTTCACGTGAGCCTCTCACGCCCCAGCAGCTTAGTGAGTGGTATACTAGTTGGGGTTGTCGCGGTAGCCGTCGTAGCTGTCGCCCTGGAGCTGGTCAGTTGGGAGCGTCTGGCAGTGGCCAGCTGCAGCTGCAGCGGCGTCCACGCGAGACACTTACGCTCCAGCAGCTCCATGAGTGGTACGCTCAGTGTAGCAGGTCTACGCGTACAGTTCGCTGCCCGTACGTCATTCGCACAGGTGCTAGGACTGGTCAGCCTTGTGGGACGCTTGGTCACACACAGTCCCGCTGCTTCGCCCGTCTGAGCGACGACTGGCGCACAGTGTTTGGCGACGAGGCTGAGCTCCCCGCCTGGCTGGAGCTGCATGGACAGAGGGTAGATATCTTTGCGCTTGACTATGATGCTATTCTCACTGCCATGTATGCATTGCCTACTAGTGCTGACCGTGCCTGTTACCTGTGCGTACCGCCTGACCCTGGTATAGAGCCTGCTGCTCTCGGTGCTGGTGAGGCTGCTGCTCTAGGTGCTAGTGCGTCTCCTGCTCTAGGTGCTGGTGAGGCTGCTGCTCTCGGTGCTAGTACGTCTTCTGCTCTAGGTACTGGTGAGGCCGTGGCTTCAGGTGCTGGTGAGTCTGCTCGCTCTGATACCATGTTAGAATCTAGCAGCAGGAATGGTTGAACTAGCAGCATGCAGGAGTACAAGTAGTAAACCCTAATTGGGTTGTACCCCATATGGGCTACCCCACTACAGCCTAGACAATATGCAGCACATATAGTTTGACAGGAGCTGCAGTTGCAGGGCAGCGGGGCGTGCAAGCGCGACGCGTGGGGCAGCATACGGGCAGGGCAGCTCGCGCGGGCACGCGTAGCGCGCAAGGCAGCGTATGGCAGAGGGGCAGCAGCGCTAGCATGGGCTGTAGCGGCGACAGCAGGGGCTGTAGTGACAAGAGCACGGGCTGTAGCGGCGACAGCACGGGCTGTAGCGGCGTTAGCAGGGGCTCCAGCGGCAGCAGCAGGGTCTGTAGCGGCAGCAGCAGGGCTGTAGCAGCAGCAGCAGCAGTGCTGTACCTGCAGCAGTAGGGGCTGTAGCTGCAGCAGTAGGGGCTGTAGCGGCGACAGCAGGGGCTGTAGCGACAGCAGCAGGACCGTAGCACCAGCAGTAGGCCTGTGGCGGCAGCGGTAGGGGCTGTAGCGGCGACAGCAGGGACTGTAGCGGCAGCAGCAGGGGCTGTAGCGGCAGCAGTATGGGCTGTAGCGGCAACAGCAGGGGCCCTAGTGGCAGCAAGGTGTCGAGAAACTTTCTGAATCCTGTTCTGCCTCACTCCTTCCGCTTCGTTTGTTCTTTTTCCGCAAAAAAGGCTCCGGTGGAAACAGGGTTTTCAGCTCCTGTGCAGCCATGGCCGTGGCGTAGATCTCAGCCTCACAACTAGAGCCAAGAACAGAAGAAGAGCGGGTGGACCGCCACGAGACAGAACCAGAGCCAAGGCTGAAGGTGTAACCCTGTGACGACCGCTGCGTAGCCAGGTCGTCCACCCAAGAAGCGTCCGAGTGACCAGTGAGGACAACTCTGTCGCGTCCTCCAAGCACCAGCCCCATGCCTGATGTACTGCACAAGTAACGCAGCACCCTCTTAGCAGCCTCCCAGTGCTCTCGCCTGTGTCTCCCAGGCGCAACGTAACGAGCAAGGATGCTAAGAGGGTACGCGAGGTCAGGTCGCGTGCAAGTCATCAGGTACATGAGGCAGCCTACAAGCTCTGGGTACGGGCCACTCGGCTCTACGGACTCGTCCGAAGGTGGAGCTGAGAGCGAGTGGCTGGTAGCCAGAGGTGTGGCCTGTGGTGAGGAGAACTGGAAGCCGAAGCGCTGAAGGACCTGCTGCACCATGTGTGACTGAGTCAGGGTGATGGTGCGGCGTGCTCTGTCCCGGGTGATCTGCAAGCCAAGGTAGCTACGCAGCTCACCCAGGTCAGTGCAGGTGTGTCTCTTCTGCAGCTCCGACTTCACACGAGCGAGTGCCTCAGTGTCAGCAGTAGCAAAAACCAAGTCGTCGACGTACACGAGGATGTAGAACGGCGGCAGCGACGTGTCTGTGCGCAGGAACAGTGACGGGTCAGCAGTGGAAGGAGCAAACCCAAGGGCCGCAAGTGTAGTCCTCAGTGTGTCGTGCCACTCGCGTGGCGGAGACCGTAGACTGGCCGCCGGAGGCTCCACTGGGTACCAGGAGGAAACGACCCAGTAAAGCCAGGTGGGCGGCGCAGCCAGATCTCCTCGTGCAGGCTGCCCTGCAAGAACGCTGTGCTGAAGTCAAGAGAGTGAAGCTCGTAGTCACGCTGAGCAGCAACGTGCAGCAGAACCCGAAGAGTGGTCATCTTCAGGGTGGGGGAGAAGGTCTGAAAGAAGTCAACCCCCTGACGCTAACTGAAGCCTCTAGCAACGTAACGAGCCTTGAAGACAGGTGGAGAACCTGGCGGCCGCTTCACCCTGAAAATCCACATGCCATCGACGATGTTCGCCCCAGGAGGGGGAACCTCGTCGACGTAGGTGCCTGTGGACTTCCAGGATGCCATCTCTGCGTCCATGGCTGTCTGCCACTGAGAGGAGTAGGGACCCGAGATCGCCTCTGCGTAAGAGCGCGGAGTGGGGATGTCTAGTGCATCCGGGTCTCCCTCAGGGGCAAGCAACCAGGCCACGAGATGAGGTACAGCAGCCGCAAGAGAGTCAAAGTCCTCCTGCCTGTCCTCAAGGACGTCCGTGCCAAGAGCACACTCACCCCCGACGGACGGAGGACAGACAGACTCAGACCCAGCAACAAGACTGGCGGCGTAGTCTAGACGACAGGCAGCAGCAAAGTCGACAAGCTCAGCGACCAGGGCAGACGCAGCAGAAGACTCAAACGACGGGTCAGTGACAACAGTGGCGAGAAGACGCGTAACAGTAGGGTGGGCAGCACGAACACTGTCAGACTCAGGGTCGGGAACCTCAGGAAGAGAAGACGCAGGAGGAGACGGTAGGGGGACACGCTGTGGACCAGTGGAAGGACGAAGGGCCATAATATGCGTGCCAGGAACAGGAGGAGGACGCGGACGCGCGACACGACGACCAGTGGGACTAGTGCGCGCAGTGCGAGCAGCACGAACAGGCGAGGCAGGACGAGACGCAGGCTCACGACGCTCCGTAAGCGAGTCCGGCTGTGCAGTGTAAGGCACAGGAGCAGGGAGGGGGGAGCCAGGCTGGAGAGGAAGGCCAGTGGAAGACGGGAGGGAAAGAACCTGGCGAAGCACCGTGTCAGGCGGTGGCAA